AGGTGCCTTCTTAGAAAGAGGAAGTAAAGGCTTATTGGTAGATTTTCCATTCTTAAGCAGCACAAGTGATTTCCTCACAGCTTCCCTAGCAAATTCTCTATGTTCCTGTCTAGTAAGTATATATGATAAATTAGATTAGAGAATATTGACTATCAACCTTACCTCCTAAAAATTAAGAGTACAATCATTGCAAAATTACGTTGTTTTAATAAATTTCTATTAAAAAAAACTAAAATATCCTAGTATGAATTAGAGTGTTTTTTGTCTTTTCTTGTAGTATTTTATTAAAATTAAGTAATTTTGAAATAATTTTTTTTATAATCTTTAGGAGATAAGACTGATAAGTACTATTCTCATTAGATTATTATTTATTTATTTATTTTATTATTTGTATCAATCAATTAACTGGTAATAACCTGACTACCAAGCTGGTCCACTAGGCTGACATCTGCCAATGGATTCTCAAATACACCCAACATGAACTTCACTCGCAAAATTCTTTTCACTGCATCATCAATTCGACTCATGGGGATGAAATTATTGCTCACCAGGTAGGTTAGTCCATCAATGAATTCTGTGTAGTTATATGGAACCATGATCTGCATAAGGTGCAGAAGAACCATTGTTTAGAACATGGAACATGATAAGAGCAGATGGAATTAGTAAGAAAGAATTTAGGATTTTAATAGGTAACCATATCAAGGCCGGCATGAATTCCTGTTTGAATGGAATACGATTATACGAGTAATTAGCATGAGGTGGAGATGTGATCTTGTCAATTCCCTGCATAACAAAACCCTAGAAAAATTCCCAAGATTTTACAATTCTTTCTGGTAGTGAAGCATAATGTGCTAGAAAAGGGAAAAAAAAAATAAAAAGGCATAATTTAAATCCTTGAGAAAATAGTTGTACCTTGAAACGAAGAGTGTTCTTAAGAAAGCCAATAATAAGATCATGGTTGGCATGCATCTTAACTCCATTCATGCTTGAGAAGGAGATCATAATAGTCGACACACCTTTGATAATTGCATTATAGTGGCCTGGCATATGAATTATAAGCAAACCATGAAAGTCTATAACTGTATTGTTCTCATTGATGCCTTTGGTTGTCCCATCATCTCCCACATAGTGCTTGGCACAAGCTGCAACATTTTTCCTGGACAATAAATGAGAAAATAGAATGAAATTTTTACACCACAAATGATTAATTTTGGGAAGGCTGGCAAAGATTGTTCTTATGGTTTCACTTGCCTTATGTAAATAAATGGACTTATAATCTTAGGTTGGGATGAAATATTCAGTGTGCCTTACTTTCCAGCCACAAATGGAACGCTCTTAGGAGAGTCAGGATGGACTTCGCCTTGTAATCCATCAATAATCTGAGTCATTGCTTGAACAAGTTTAGGATCTTCACTGTAACTTTCATAGCAACGACCCCATCTTGGATCTCTACAAACCTATAGATAAGAAAGTAGTAACAATAAAGCAGAAGCGTGTTGAATGTCATGTCATCCACCATTTTCACACACACACACAAAAAGTATAATTAATTTGCCGCCACACAAGGTGCAAAAACATATAGATCGAATGCCTGTTGCTCTAACTTCAAGTGCTGTGGCAGTCCAATCCTCTTAGCAAGCTCAGGGCCCCTGTTTGGGGGGGAAAATGTCTTATTAAAGACATCAAAAACATACCATGATGACTCGAAAATGGAAAATATTAGGATAAAATGTTTGCTTGCCAAGTTGCCCCTATTCCAATATTGTGAGGAAAGATTGTTGCATTGTAAACATTATTGTGACCATGGACAGCATCCATCTCATATATCATTGGAATTCCTAATCGGGTAGATAAAGAACCATTTTGGAAATCATTGACCATGCTGATCCAAGTCTTTGCAGAAGCTTGTGGAGCTAGGGCACTCCCTCCTCCACTCAATACACTCCCTGCAACAGAAAAACTCATATTTTTTTCCTTTCTCTTTCTTCCCAAGATAGAACGTTATTGCATTAAAAGGAAGCATATAAGGGGAAGTTTACCAATCATGTACTTCTCCATCACATCAGCAGAAGCAATGCTGCGTTTTATCTGAGTCATCTGTCCTATTTTCTCTTCTAATGTCATCCTCTTCAGAAGGTCATTGATTCGAACACCTAGAGGTTGTTTTGGATCTTTATATTTCATATATTCTGCTGCTGCTAAGGCTGCCACGCAACAAAGCAAAAGCGCCATCAAGAAAATGGAAGTTCTTGCCATTTTCCTTCAACCTTCTCGCTCCCTTCCAATTGCCAGAAGTAAGAGCAGCTGTAACAAGTAACATTTATTCTATGTCAGATGTTTGGAACATTTATGTGCATTGAAACCCTGCTATCGATACAGAAGTAGAGGAATTTATGCCAGTGTAATAGTTCAAGATTTTCGGAACATATATGAAGCGGATTTATACTCAGCAATATAAACAATAGAAAATAATATTTATCAACTTTATCTCCTAAAAATTAGAAGAAAAATTATTTCAAAACTACGTCGTTTCAATAAATTTTTATTGAAAAAGACTAAATTATTCTATTTTTAAGTGATTTTTGTCTCTTTTTTTTTAATTT